TCAGAGGTTTTCAGGGGTCGACTATTGACTATAGGTGTAAATGTGTTTTGGGATCTGGTTTAGTGAACCACTGGTATTTAATAATGATTTTACATTTCCTGCAGAATGGGTAATAGATAACCTCAAAGGGCTCACAAGACTTAGCATGTTTATCTTCCTGCCCTGAGGTATGGGGGGGAAGTGTAGGTGCTTCTTTCGAGGTTCTGATGATCTTCCAGTGATTATCTCATTCTTGCTGACTCTGCATAGAAAATCATTAGCTGATCATTTAATCTGTGAAATTTGTTCTAAAAGGATTCTCTGGAGGCGATCTTAAGATAACGTGTTCATGAGGCAAAAAATGGTTTTGTGAGGTAACAGTGACCTCTGACCTCTGTCACCTGACCACCGAATTCTAATCAGGTCATCCTTTAGTCCATGTGAGTGTTTGCGCGTAATTTGAAGAAATTCCTTCAAGGTGTTCTCGAGATATCGTGTTCACAAGAATGTGACTGGCAGACAACCCAAAAACATAATGCCTCTATCGTCCGGCTGTCGCTGATATAGAAGCATAACAAACACTGCTGACTAAATGGTGAGTGACGTATATTTTTTTGCTAAAACAAATATGACCTCAAACATTTGTGGGGGTTTTTATTTTAACTTATAAATACCCAGAGTCTACATTGTTTGTAACGGATGAATTTTTTAGCTCAAGAAGAAACAGAGAGCGGAGCACGACCCAGGTGACATCGGCCTCCCAGACGATGATGTCTTGTGACTCCCTGGTTCCCCACATGCCCCAGCCAGAGGTTAAAGATGCCTGAGAACTGACTCTGGTCACACCTTTGGGATTACAGAAGTCAAACCCTCTCATTCTTTACCAACAGCCTCTCTCTTTTTCTCCCCCCTTCTCTCCTCTCCTTCTTTCTGAGACATGACCAAGGTCAATGGGTTTCTCCATTAGAAATTCCACCGGGGGCCCGATACTGGTCCGGAATGGTACAAAAGTCTCCTTTTATCTGTTCTCACTATTGTTCTCATTACTTATATTATGAAAGTAATTGATACTTGCCTTGCAGATAATTAAACCCCTCTAATTAAAATAAATAATATGAAATAAACACAGGCTGCTCTGGGTAATAAGTCCTTTTGATTTCAGGGATTAACGTAATCAAAAGCATTCTTCCTTACTGAAACAGAGAGATTACGAGTTTAGTCAGAGGGCCAAGACCCATGCGTCTAAATCCCCTCTTCACTTTTTCTTGGCTGTTGCGGAACAAAAAGAAATATGTAGTTTGTACATCAGACAATCTGCTGTTGTTGTCAACAGGATGATAAAGAAAACGTGTTTCTTCTAATAGATGCTATCGCCTGTAGTAAGGCCGTGTAAAACAAGACAAGAAGATCAGTTGCTGCACGGGGGTGGCACAGATTGCCTTTTGTCATCTCCACATCACAGGATGATCACTGCAGTGAGGGGGGTGTCTTCAGTTTTTCATGTTTTAGAAACTGCACGGCCTGTCTCAAAGCATCCACAGTGCCGCTCTCCTGCCTGTGGGCTCTGAGGCTGAGCGTGTGCGACATGTGAGTGACAGCCGGGCCCATTTGAGTGAAATCTCAGACTTTGAAAAAAGCCTGTGCGAAAATCTCTGCAGCGCTCGCACACCTTCACTGTGAAATGCTGCCATTCCCCCACTGTGGAGCGAGAACATTAAGAATTGATAAGATGGCAATGCAGTGGAAGGGCTACGCGTGTAACAGTTTAACATTAATAATTCATTCCTTCGCTAATTTGGAGATGTCTGTTTGGCTCCTTTCCAGTGGTAAGGTATATGGGAGCAGGGCCGTAGGAGAAAAGTTCAGAGTAAATCACTTCCAAGTTGCGAAATGATGATATTCTTTTCAGAGACTTGAGAGAAAAGAAATGTGGAGCGAGGGAGTAAAAAGCAGCAGGGACTATCAATATTCTCTTTGCCAGCCACCAGGTGGTGATCGAGACGCTTTGGCTTCACTTTTGGAGAGCTGTCATGTCGTCCATCTTGATATGCAATCTATGTCAAATACTATTTGTGATTAGCAAATGTTGGTAGAGGCCATAGCAAACATCAGCATATTCACATTTTCTTTGTTAGCATGTTTACAGGAAATTTAGCTTAAAGCACCATTGTGCTGAAATACAGCTGCTGGAGTCGCTGCAGGTGATATTTGCTTCTTTTATCCAATCGCCTCATTCAAGCATGTGCTGTACTAGTGGCAGGAGGGGAGGGTGGGAAGCTTATTCTATTAGTGTATGTGTGTCACTGTGACTTCAGGGCCTTGTCGTCTGTTCATTACTGTGTTAAAGTCAGGGGGCTGAGTTATCAGTGAACACTTCTGCCGTTCTCTCCCTCTGCCTCCATCTCTTTCCCTCCCTCCATCTCTTGCTGCTGTTGTTTTGGCCCAAAACATTTCATGTCTGTGTACAATTTTCCAAGTCGTCCCTCCTCTCTCCTCTCCTCCCAGCAGGGAGGCCTGGTAGAGGTAAATGATTAAAGGGCATGTGTGTGTGTGAATGTATTTATGAGACTGTCAGACAGCTAAGAGATTAAATTCCCTTTAGATTGGTTATTACTAAAATAAACCCTCAAGTTCTCTCTCTCTCTCTCTCTCTCTCTCTCTCTNTCTCTCTCTCTCTCTCTCTCTCTCTCTCTCTCTCTCTCTCTCTCTCTCTCTCTCTCTCGCCACACACAGTTTATAATGGGAGACAGAATTTACAGCAACAGTCTTCCATGTCACCTTTCTACTCTACAGCTTCATGAAAGCCTTTTGAAATGAGCTTTGCCTCTCTGAACGGTTTCTCACTTCATTTTGCAGAGACTCAAAGCAGAAAAAAAAAAAATCCTCAACTTTTGCCATTTTCAAAGTGCAGCAAAGACGACAGAGTAGCTGTGTCACCTTGTAGTAGACAGAGTGTAGTAGAAAGGAAACATCAGTCACTCAGCAGGGGGCCGAAAATACTTTTTTACAGAAGGGAGGATGAAGTGAGATGGAACTGGCATCGTTATTCTGATGGAGTTTTATATGTGTCTCAATCCCGACTGAGACACTAATAAACCTCCTTCATGGGAACTGTTGACAAAGAAGCCACAGTAGAGAGTTTCCCCAGCAGTTCGGGGGGGGACATATTGATTTCATTCTATTGTGATATTTGCATTGGATCGTCTTTACTAATGATGGCGAATGCAAACATTGTCCTTGTGTACATTTAATTAATTATCTAATCAGACGAGTTGTTTGCTTTTATGACTGTGTCTATAAATACAGACGTGGAGCCTTGTTAAGTTTTACTTTGCTTGTCAAAAACCATTGTACATTCTGTGCCTCACGTCTCACAGTATAAACGAATATGACAGAATATAAATGGTGAATGAGAGAGAAGGTGAGTGGCAGCAGAAATATAAGTTTAGTGTGGATGTACAAATGTGACTGTTACAAATGCAGCTCAACAGTAGATACCAGCGAGCTGTTTATGTTCTGCAGCAACATACATCTTAAATCCCTCCCCAATATACTGAGAGCACAAGCTCTTAAACTGTTGTTAGCATGCCAAGCATAGAAGGATAACAGAAAAATCAAACACCACACTACTACTACACTGCCTACACTGTATTGCCTTTAAAGTTCATTGCAACATGCTCTCTCTGTCCCTCTGTCCCTCTGTCTCTCTCTTTTCCTCTGTCTCTCTCTGTCCCTCTGTCTCTTTCTTTTCCTCTGTCTCTCTCTGTCCCTCTGTCTCTGAAACTCCAGAGCTGCAGTATTCATATCAGTGAAGAGATAAACTAAGAAAGATATGGGTTAGAAGTGCGAGGAGAGGTTTAACATTGAGACAGACAGGAGAGATGAAAAAGCAAGAGTGAGGATGAGAGCACAAAGAACAGGAACAGGGTAACATGAGCAAAAAAGCGAGTGATCGTCAAGATAAGAGGGAGAGAAAACGAGAAGAGGAATATGCACGCAGGAAAACTGAGAAAAGAGAGTGAGAGTTAAACGGCAGCAGCACAAGACACAGAAATTTAGTTAAGGGCCCCTCCAGGGCGTCTTATGTGACAAATTTTGTGTTAGAAAGTACGGAGAGAGAGCATATGGCGAGATGCATTATTGATGGAGCAGGAGTGCCGATCTCTCAGTGTGACATAATCACCCTGCAGTGATTTCCATGGCATTTAAAACTCGGTTGGTTTTATATAATTTAAGACAAATGCGACCAAGAAAATCTCAAAGTAACAGGGGAGGGGATGCAACAGAGAGGAAGAGTGAGGAGAGGCAGACTTGTTGTGCTGGCTGCGGGGGTTTGATGGAAATTGGCCGTGAAAGGGGACAAAAGGGAGACGGATGGACGCGGGGATCAAATGACAAAATAAAGGCTTCTGAGACGGAGAAAAGAGCAGCAATGAAGCAAAGAGAGGGGAAAATGAAAAGCACAAAAGAGAAGGAAGTGGGAGTTTTGTTAAGCTGGTGCTTTAACACGCCCTTCAAAGGTCAAGGGTCAAGCCCATGGAGTGTGAGTGTGTGTGTCGGTGTGTTTGGGTGTGTGTGAATAGCTGTGTTTGCTCCAGAGGACATTGCATGTGAATGGTCTTTTGTTACGGCCTACTTTGGATATAGATTTGCAACTGATACAGAGCGGCCAGTGTTTGTGTGGAAGTGACAACTGTTTAGAATGTGCACATTAATCAAAAAACAGCAAATGCAGCTTTCTCCGGCTGCAAACCCGCCCTGACAAACTCTATTTCTCAGCTTCAAAGCGTCTCACAAGCGCTCATTGAACATGCATTGATTCTGGACGCCTGTTCTTCCCTCATCACCCTCCTGGGGATTACTGGGATTTGAGCTGGCGACTCGCAGACATGGAATGAAAGCTCTTTATTGAGCCGCTCTGTCTCCTGCTGCACTGATTTAGGATCAGTAACCTTACAAGAATCTTAATCGCAGCAATTTATGACTCAGAAGTTGAGGTGCGATATTAAAGTTAAGCATACCTTTCTGTGTAGGCTAACAGGAGGGCAGCATGGACCTGAGGGGGCCTCTCCATCCTCGTCCCTCTTCTTAGTCGGACTCTCCTTCTTCAGCGTCCGAACGTATGAGATTCTCCTTTTGACGCTCCTGTCCTGCTCCTCTACTTCTGCAGACACCCGCTTGGTTCTGCTTTGTTGGCCCAGGTTCTGATCAGACGGGATGGGACGTCCCGCAGCTGAGGGATGTCCTCGGGGTTCAGATGTTCCAGGCCAACCTGTCTCCAGGATAACATGAACGCACACGCACACAGCAGTGAGCAAAACAGCCAAACGCAGCAGCAGTCCCAGGGATGGTCGCTCTCTGCCCATGTCCAATCACAATATTGGTCCTCTCTGTCTCTCTGGCTCACATCAGTCCATCTCCTCAACTAGAAGTGTTTGTCCTTTGCTTATTCTATCCCATTCTTCATATCCTTCTTGTCAAGGAGTTGTCTTTCTGTTCTCTTCTCTTCTTCTCGTGCTGCCTCTCCTTCCCTCCAGGTCCAAAGTCCACCATCAGATCAATAGAGTTAAGTTAATGAGTCAAACATGTCAAGAAACCCCCCTGCTCACAAACCAGCACACGTGTGCTCGCCTGCATCTTAACCTGAGCAACTGTGTGCATGTTAGTGTGTGTGTACTTGTGTGTCATTGAAAAGAGGGATGTGTGCCGCCTTCTTTGAAAAACTTTGGGAACTCCCTCCTCACACTCCCATGTCCCCCCCTTTCCCCAAACACACACGCCCCTTTAATTTGCCTTCTATTTCTCTCCAGGCCCCCC